ATTGGCCCTCGACTGTATCACTTGTATCAGTTGTATCACTATCCACCACAGAGGCTTGCAGGGCCTCTTTGTCAAACCCCCTCAAAGTCCATATAAGTCCATATCCTCACTATCATTATCACTGACTTGGGCCGGCTGTGGTGGGTGGCGGGTGAAGAACTCGGTAATATTTTGATGACTGGGCGACCTTGTGCGCACCCTGCTCGCGTCGCTCTCCGCGTAAAAGGGCACACACACCGCGGAAAGTGAGCATTCCGTGTTCGGCAGGGTTCCGCGTAAACGTGGAAACGCGTAAAGTGGGACCGCGTAAAGCGAGGGTTGACTGTATACAAATTATTATAGTTTACAGTTGATGGCCTGGGTCTGGACTGGTCATGGAGACACCAGGTGGTGTGGTGTTCACGTGGTGTAGTAACTCATTCTCGGGTGCTGATATGAAGGACCTCACGTGGTCATGGGGACACCGGGTGGTGTGGTGTTCACGTGGTGCAGTAACTCGTCCTCGGGTGTTGATATGAAGGACCTCACGTGGTCATGGAGATATCAGGTGGTGTGGTGTTCACGTGGTGTAGTAACTCATTCTCGGGTGCTGATATGAAGGACCTCACGTGGTCATGGGGACACCGGGTGGTGTGGTGTTCACGTGGTGCAGTAACTCGTCCTCGGGTGTTGATATGAAGGACCTCACGTGGTCATGGAGATATCAGGTGGTGTGGTGTTCACGTGGTGTAGTAACTCATTCTCGGGTGCTGATATGAAGGACCTCACGTGGTAATGGGGACACCGGGTAGTGTGGTGTTCACGTGGTACAGTAACTCATCCTCGGGTGTTGATATGAAGGACCTCACGTGGTCATGGGGACTCCGGGTGGTGTGGGGTGGTGTCACAGTACCCCACCCTCCTGGGTGGTGTGTTTTTTCGTAGTCAGGTGTGAAGCTGACCCACTGTTGTTCCCAGGGTGAATTGATAGCACCTTGTCAGAAGATGGCAGTCAGTTCCCAGGGGTGCTTATCTCACTGGTGGGTCACGGCTCTCACTGGTACTGTCTAGAGTCCAGTGCTGAATTCACTGGCTTAAACACTGTTCATCACTGTTCAACACTGGTCCCGCATCTGCATAGGTGTTCAGGATCTCCTGTAGGTCGTGTTCAGTGTGAGCAACAAGGGTGAGGTCATCTGCATACTGAAGTTCAGTAATGGAAGCTGCCGACACCTTTGTTCTTGCCTGGAGTCGTCTTATGTTGAAAAGACCCCCTTCACCTGGTGCTCGATGTTCACCCCGCTGACTAAATTGGCACTGGCACGAGTAAGGAAGGCAGCTAAGAAAATGGACAAGAGAGTTGGTGCCAGTACACACAGTTTAACCCCTGTTTGAATGAGGAAGAACTCTGACTGGGTGCCGTTGTGCAGGACACTGCCATTCATGCCATCGTGAAGTTGCCTCACAATGGCGATGAATTTTGGTGGGCAGCCAAAACCGCTGAGGGTCCACCAGAGGGCTTCCCTGTTGACCAAGTCGAAGGCCTTGGTTAGGTCGATGAAAGCCATGTACTGGTCACGACTCTGTTCTTTGCACTTTTCCTGTATCTGGCGGGCAGCAAAGATCATTTCAGTGGTGCCACGTGATGGTCTAAAGCCACATTGAGATACTGGGAGGAAGTCTTCCGCCTCAGGAAGAAGTCTGTTTAGGAGGACTCGGGCTATAATCTTGCCAGCTACGGAGAGCAGCGAGATCCCACGGTAGTTGCCACAATCTGACCGGTCTCCCTTGTTCTTATAAATATTGACAATGGAGGCATCTTTAAGAGCTTGGGGGATTTCCTCCTTTTCCCATATATTCTCCAGGAGAGAGTGGAGACGGCTGGTAAGTAGAGGTCCTCCTGCATTATACACCTCGGCTGGGATTTCATCAGGCCCTGAGGCTTTGTTATTTTTCATCTATTTGATGGCAGTAGCTACCTCATCCAGGGATGGAAGATAGCTGTGGTGAGTCTGCTCTGGATGCTGAGGGACCTGCCGGGGAGTCAGGACATCCACATCGGTGTTTTGGTTGAGCAATGAATGGTCGTGCTCTTTCTAGCACTGAAGGAGGTCATAGTCATCTTTAATTATGTGGTTACCGTCAGATGAGCGGAGGGGGGCTGTGCCAGTGTGCCACGAGTGAGTGGCCCATAAAATGTTTTAGTGAAAATAAAAAATTTGCGCATCTTGTGCTGAACTGCACGTTTTTGTGCTTGACAGGCTTTATTTTTAAGCCAGTCGTTCTTTAGATTGCGAAGTTCCCGCTGGGCTGCCGCTTTCTTCTTGCAGAAGGTTTCAGCTTTGGTCCGAGACTGAGGGTTGTTCTGCCAGTCAGTAAAAGCAGCACGTTTATCATCGATGTGTACTTTGATTGCCTCGTTATTTTCATCAAACCAGTCCTGGTGTATACTTTTGAACTGGCCAAGGGTCTTTGCAGGTTTTGTCATAACAGTATTAAGAGTATCCAATTCAGCACTGGGATTCATGTTGTTAGTTGTCGGGTTGTTTATAATCCCATGTTCGAGCTGCTCTTTGAAAGCATGTGCTACCGCCGGATCCTCCAGATGCTTAGTATTAAAACATCTCTTCTGGAGGCTTGCTGCCTTTGCCGCTTTGGGGCAACGTGAAGTGAGAGCTTGGCTCTGACAAATTGATGATCAGTGTCACAGTGGTCTGAGCCACTCATGGCACGGGTGATGAGGACATCTCGGTGATCTCTTACTCTGACAATGATGTAGTCAGTGAGATGCCAGTGTTTGGATCATGGGTGTTGCCATGATCCCTTGAACTTGTCGGCCTTCCTGAACAAGGTGTTGGTGATAGTGAGGTTGTGAGCAGCACACTTGCTGAGAAGGAGTAGGCCACTGGGATTACACTTGCCTAGTCTATTTCTCCCTATGGTTCCCTGCCAAATATTAGCATCTCTGCCAACTCTGGCATTGAAGTCGCCAAGGAGCACAACCTTGTCTTCTCTGGGGATAGAGGTTAGCACTCTGTCGAGGTCGGCATAAAAGGCCTCCTCTGCATCCAGTGTTGGGGCTTATGCACTGATGAAGAAGAAGGCATGACGTGAGTGATTTAGTGGGACTCGAAGTGTCATGAGGCGCTCGTTGATCACACACACACACACACCTTGTTGATCACTGCACTGTTATCAACAAGGCTATTGCACTAGGGCTGCCCACCAACCTGGTCTCATGGCTCACTGATTTCTTGCGTGGAGTCGCCAGGCAGTGAGGTATCAGGGCTTGGTCTCCACATTCCAACACCTCACCTGCGGTGTTCCCCAGGGGACCAAGATGGGACCACTGTGCTTCCTCATCCTGATCAACGACGCTCTATCGGACACTCCTCACAGGTGGAAGTACGTGGATGACTGCACTGTGGGGGTTTCGGTGGACAACACCGCAGCAGACTACTCATCGCTACAAGGCACCCTGGACAGGCTACAGGCATGAACCACGGAGAACAAGGTCACCATCAACCACACCAAAACCGTAGTCATGCACGTCAATACCGCCACCACTCCAGTGCAAGCCCCAGCAGTCACAGTGGGTGCCCATCCTTTCCAGCTGGTGCAGTCTGCCAAACTCCTGGGTGTAACCATAGACAACAAACTTGACTGGAAGGCCCATGTAAATAACACAGTCAAGGCAGCCTCGTATCGTCTCTACATGCTACGACGACTTAGGTCACTTGGGACACCCACGCCAGAGCTGAGGACCATCTACAACGCCTTTATTCTCCCCAAACTAACGTATGCGTCACCAGCCTGGTTGTCTTCTCTCAACTCCACCCAAGAACGTCAGCTGGAGAAGGTACAGAAAAGGGCCTGCAGAATCATGCTCGGCACAGAATACTCTGGCTACACCAACGCTCTTGCCACCCTGGAAATGCCATCCCTCAGTGACCTCCACCACCAAGCACTGGAAAGGTTTGGCAGTGGACTACTGCACCACCCTCGTCATCGCCACCTCCTGCCACCTGCAGCCCCCCACCCAACTCGCGCAGTCCACCACTACAACAAAATTCAGTCAATAAGAGCCCGCACCGATAGATATAAGAATAGCACCATCCCATCTATTGTTAAAATAATAAACAACTCCTGATTTATGTACTGTACAGCCCTGTAAATGTATTCAATGCATATTATATCATTATGTCTAAATCAAATGTAAGTCTGTATATTTTCAGCCACCGGCTGCAACTCTATTAATAAACCGTTTATTATTATTATTATTATTATTATTATTATTATTATTATTATTATTATTATTATTATTATTATTATTACACACACACACACACACACACACATATATGGGAATTAAGACAACAAGCATCCAGTGAAGGTCTTGTTGTGTGACTGCATGGAGGTGAATTAAAAGATCAGCTGTTGAGCTTATCGTTTGGCAACCATGGTGCATGTTAACACCATTTCCACTCCATCTCTCCAATCACCCATGCCTTTCTGCTTTCTCACTCCATATTTTAAAATGTTATGTAATGTAATGTTGAAGGGATACAACTTTGCTCATTTATACTTATACTTATCACAATCTCCCTAAAAAATACTTTAGCTTTCGTGTTTATTCAAGACATCTTCAGGTCGTGAGACCCACTAATCCTCTAACCAAGAAAGGTGACCTGACATTCCATTAGAAGGTCAATACAGTTATATGAGATCACTAATCCCCCACCCTACCTCCACCTGACATTGAGTCAGGCCAAGTCTGGTCCCCCCCAAAAAATAATTCTTTATCTTTCATCCTTATTCAAGACATTTTCAGAAAATTCTCTCGATTTTCAACCTCGGAAAATTTGTTCCCACAGCTGGAATTTTGTGAAAATTCCGGCTTTGGGAATGATTTTCCGAGCAAATTTCAATTCCGGCTATTGGAGTTCCGGGTTTAATGGTTTCCGGCTAACGGAGATATTACTGTATTATGAAATCTTGATTACCTTTTTAATTGATAACAGGTTCAAGAATCTGGAGAAGATACAAAAGATAAAAAGAAAAATGGAATGAAGAGCTCTGATAAAGAGTACACGAGTGGTTATCCTCAAGACTACTGTCAAGATTATACTGGAGAAGACTACACATGGTCAGGGGAAGGATATGATTTATCGGAACCAGTTTATGAAGGGCTGTCCAAGGCTGAACACATGGTTATCGATCAAACTGGATGTGAGGATTTGCAGCTGATCCGAAAACAACTTGAGGCTCATGACTTCAACGTTCATGAAGCTATTGATTCTATACTCAATTATATTGTTCTGCAGCATAAAGGTGAGTAAAGGTGATTATGAGATGTATAAGATGTATTGAGATGTGTTTAGGGATAAAATGTATTGAGATGTGTTTAGGGATCTTGGAGGAGGACTACTGTAAAATATATTGAGAAAGAAATAGGTAATATATGTATGAATGTGTTGGGAGATTGTGGTTATACAATATTAAAAGATTTTTAACATTCAAGATTTTCATTGGATTTTTTTTTTAATAGCCAAATTTATATCTTTTTAGTAGTCCAAATTTTTCTTTTACTTGTTAGGCTTCAATTTATCAACCAAGTTATGATTTATCATTAAGAGAAAACTCATCATCGAACACCCATTCAGAATGTATCAACTTATCTCTTTGGAAAACATCTGCTTGGATATTCAAGTCAAGCAAGATACCTAGCAGCTACTTCACAGAAGTGCACTCACTACATAAACAGACTTTCAGGAACATGCTCAAAAGAACCAGATTTAACCTTTGAGATACAGGCTGTACCTCTCTAGTCCGGCATTCTGTGGTCCGGAAACTCCCGTGGTCCGGAACGATTTTAGTTTGTCCAACAGGTAGATAGGCAACTTTTTTTTTTATACTTATCTGAATTATTATTATTATTACAGGAGTATTAAATTTTTGCCACTCAGGCCCCAATGTGGGTCAGTGACCTATGCCCGGGTGGGCTAATCCCCATAAAAAAAAAACAACAACAAAGCCGCGGGAAAGTAAGGTTTGTTTACATCCGGCAGTTCGGCTGCTCTCTCTCTCTCTCTCCGCTTGTCTGTACAGAGTACAACATTTAACCCTTCAATATATATGAGCAGTAAATAAGTGTTGCTTTCATATTCTTATGTAGAGTAATGACGATATGTTTTCACATGTGCGCACTTACATACGCGCAGTCTCACTTTTTTTTTACCATTAATGGTTACCTACTTATATTGTTCCATTTATTAACATTAAATAACATTACAGGTACTTCAAACAACCATATTATTTTTTTTACATTAATTTTACTACAGCTACAATCAGGGTCTTATTTTCTTCAGTTTTATATGTAGAACCAATCAGTCACTGGTTTTGTAAGCTTTAACATAAACAATGCCGGCAGCCGTCTCGTCTTCTCGTGTGTTTTAATATTCCACGTATTATTAATAAATTGTATTGTTAATTTTGCACACACAAACATTAATTCAATAAAAACAAATTCAGAAACATTAATTAAAATATATATGAACAGTAAATAAGTGTTGCTTTCATATTCTTATGTAAAGTAATGACGATATGTTTTCACGTGTGCGCATGCGCACTTACATACGCGATCTCTCTTTTTTCTTTACCATTATCGTTAGCTACTTCTATTGTTCCATTTATTAACATTAAATAACATTACTTAAAACAACCATATTAATTTTACTACAGCTACAACCAAGGTCTTATTTTCTTCAGTTTTATATGTAGAACCAGTCAGTCACTGGTTTTGTAATCAACGAAAACAATGCTGTGTCATTTCCTCGTGTGTTTTAATATTCTACGTATTATTAATTAATTGTATTGCTCATTTTGCACACATAAACATTAATTCAATAAAAAAGACATTCAGTAATAAACAATAATGAATCTTTTGTACATAAGAGAAATGACGCTGTTTACACGATTATGCATGTCATCTGCACGTTGGCGGGCCGTTCAAACCCGTTGAAATTCAAGTTTCCGCCGTCAAAATTTTTTTAATTTTTTTTGTGTGTTCCAATAAAATACGTTGAATTAAAAACTCGCGAAATTTGAGAAGCTACTATACGACATTTAACCCTTCAATATGTCTTAAAAGAGACCATGATGCAGAGAAAGTGGTGCTAGTGCTTCCAAGCATAAGCACAAGTCACTATCTATCCAGGAAAAGGGTGAATTTCCATGGTCCGGCACCGGTCAGGTCCCGAGGTTGCCGGACTAGAGAGGTACAACCTGTACTACAATACAGTACTATAAACTCCCTCTTAACCTCTGGTTTCCCTTGCAAACCGGACTGGGGTCCAGCACTGGATACATATATCCGTAACCCTGAAAAACACAATCGAAATTCATTTAGTATAAGGGAAAGTTTGCATAAGCAGGGGTGGGTAACTCAGCAGCTGCCTCTGAGGAAGCAGTGGAGGTTGTTGCTGAGGAGCACTAAAGTGAAGTGCCTAAGAAATATAAAAAGTGTACAATGAACCAGGCAGTTACCACCTAGTAACATCTGTAACTCCTGTAGTTACTTCATAGTTGTTTAAGAGCACTTAATGTTCGCACAAACACTACTTGGCTTTTTCTATTTATATCTAATTCTGGTTTTTTACTGTAAATCAAAATTTATAGGTTGACTTGAACTAGATGACAGAGCCATAGCTGTGGTATGAAGTGGGTTTATTTGTCAAACACAGCTTCTAAAAGACCATTGGTCTTCAGTGGACAACTTTGCACCTGATCTTCCCCATTTTAAGACCGATGGGATTAATGGGGAAGGGAGGGTGATTGGTTTAACCAATTGGATTGAAATATTAACTCTGGCTGAGTAATTGAAAGTTGTTTGAGAATAGTGAACTCCTCAATGGGAAACCTTTATTATGAGAAGTTACCAGGCAACTGGCTTAACTGGAAAATGGGGTTTCAGGAGCAGTCCCACATATTTGGATTAAAATTTTGATAACTATTTAATTTAATTTTTCTTTATTAGGTGAATATCCACAAACAATCCCGAATAATAGCAGTGGTTTGTGGGGCCCCAATGGAACAGGAACACGTCTGTTTGGGGAAAATGCTGCTGCTCCTCCGCCACCTGCCATTCATCCAAGCTATCAGAAGAAGACTCCACAAGAGAAAATACAACAACGCTTACGTACTCAACAGGTACAGTATATATAATTTGAGTTAATCTTATTACATAGAAGATTTTATGGAATGGAAAAAGCATTACCTGTACATATAATTTTTGCTGCAAGATTTGTGCAAATAATGAAGTTTGGAGAAGATTAAAGATTTAAGTTCAACTTTATGACGCTGTAACAGAATTTTTTTTAAAATGAAGTTCCTGCTACAGCGATGGACTCTAACCTCTCCTCCCACTGTCCAGTATAACTTCTCATAAAAGAACTATAAGGGACTAACACATGTAATCATCATCATCCCTGTTTTAATACCTTTTTCTGTGCTTGCCTAGGTTAGCCGTGATTACTTGATGGCAACTCTCCACACTGCACAATCTCTTGCAGCCTCTCTCTTCAGGTTCTTATCTATGAAGTCATTTCTTACAGTCTCTCCCCATGTCATTTTTGGCCTACTCCTACCTCTCTCCCCTATCTAAATTTAAACTCATACCTCTCTTGACCCAGTTGATCTTGATTCCCTCCATGTGCCCAAACCTCATCAATACTATCAATGCCCAGCTGCCCTCATAGCTCTTAATAGGGTTTCCTGTCTTTCAAAGTCACATTACTTATTCACCTCTCCATTCCTATATCAGTTCACTCAAACCTACGTGTGCCATCCTCTTTAATTGCCCATTGTTTCACTGCCTTACTACATCCACTTCTCATTCCACTTGCATACATGTTTCCTTACACACAATAAAAGCAATAGTTTCCATAACTTCTAGCCACCTCTGACTTTTGCAATTTGGCTAGCTGAATAATAGAGGGGGAGGAGGGAGTGGAGTGTGGGAGACCCCGTTGCTTGGGAGTCAACAGAGGTGGCATCCCAGCTGGGCTGTGTTGCTATGGCTAATGTTGAGGCAAAGTAGCCAGTGTCTATACAAATGGCGCTTGTGTTAAACTTCCATTGGTATTTCCATAATGGTTTTAGCTACATTTTTTCATCTAGATTGTATACAAATGTTATTTGAAGTAGCACAATTGTTAATAACATAAAAAAGTTAGGTGGTATGGTTTATGAATGTTGGAAAGGAATGTACACACAATCAAAAAAGTATCTGTGCACATTTTGCGTGAAACCATCTGATACCACAGACAATGGATATTGAAAAATGTCCGTTGATCCTACCCCATGCTGGTAGCCCTGCTTTCGTGAGGATGCCATATATTGCTTTCTAGCAACATTTCCTGTTTTATCCATTGTAAATATTGTAATTATATGCACCTTCAGAAGAAAATGGATTATTCTTGTGAGCTGTATTGATCATTTAGGAAATCATTGGACCCAATGTGCAGATGCTTTTTTTAATCGTATCTGGAGGGAGTCGTGAGTTTACTTCGCCCTTTTGATTTACCTACTGGTAAACTGTTACTTTACACCTGTGAGATTATTCCTGACATTTTGGGGGGCTTGTTTTGTTATCAGTATCATAAAGTCAAAGACATAAAAATGAATAAATTTTCTTCATGTATTAAGAGTTCAACCCTTTATCCGAAATTCCGAAAACCGAAAAGCACTAAAAACCGAAAGTATTTTTGTGGGGCTTTTTTTTTTTTTAACAGGGATTAGCCCACCCGGGCATAAATCACTGACTCACATCGGGGCCTGGTGGGCGAAAATGTAATACAGGTTGTACCTCTCTAGTCCGGCAACCTCGGGACCTGACCGGTGCCGGACCATGGAAATTGCCGGACCATGGAAATTCACCCTTTTCCTGGATAGATAGTGACTTGTGCTTATGCTTGGAAGCACTAGCACCACTTTCTCTGCATCATGGTCTCTTTGAAGACATATTGAAGGGTTAAATGTCGTATAGTAGCTTCTCAAATTTCGCGAGTTTTTAATTCTTAACGTATTTTATTGGAACACAAACAAATAAATAAATAAAAATTTTGACGGCGGAAACTTGAATTTCGACGGGTTTGAACGGCTCGCCAACGTGCAGACGACGGGCATAATCGTGTAAACAGCGTCATTTCTCGTATGTACAAAAGATTCATTATTGTTTATTACTGAATGTCTTTTTTATTGAATTAATGTTTATGTGTACAAAATGAGCAATACAATTCATTAATAATACGTAGAATATTAAAACACACGAGGAAATGACACAGCATTGTTTTCGTTGATTACAAAACCAGTGACTGACTGGTTCTACATATAAAACTGAAGAAAATAAGACCTTGGTTGTAGCTGTAGTAAAATTAATATGGTTGTTTTAAGTAATGTTATTTAATGTTAATAAATGGAAATAAATGGAACAATAGAAGTAGCTAACGATAATGGTAAAGAAAAAAGAGATCGCGTATGTAAGTGGGCATGCGAACACGTGAAAACATATCGTCATTACTTTACATAAGAATATGAAAGCAACACTTATTTACTGTTCATATATATTTTAATTTATGTTTCTGAATTTCTTTTTATTGAATTAATGTTTGTGTGTGCAAAATTAACAATACAATTTATTAATAATACGTGGAATATTAGAGGAGACGAGATGGCTGCCGGCATTGTTTATGTTAAAGCTTACAAAACCAGTGACTGATTGGTTCTACATATAAAACTGAAGAAAATAAGACCCTGATTTTAGCTGCAGTAAAATTAATGTAAAAAAATTAATATGGTTGTTTGAAGTACCTGTAATGTTATTTAATGTTAATAAATGGAACAATATAAGTAGCTAACCATTAATGGTAAAAAAAAAAGTGAGACTGCGCATATGTAAGTGCGCACATGTGAAAACATATCGTCATTACTCTACATAAGAATATGAAAGCAACACTTATTTACTGCTCATATATATTGAAGGGTTAAATGTTGTACTCTGTATAGACAAGCAGAGAGAGAGAGAGAAAGCAGCCGAACTGTCGGGATGTAAACAAACCTTAATTTCCCGCGGCTTTTTTTTTTTTAGGGGATTAGCCCACCCGGGCATAAGTCACTGACCCACATTGGGGCCTGAGGGGCAAAAATTTAATACTCCTGTAATAATAATAATAATTCAGATAAGTAAAAAAAAAAAAAAAAAAAAAGCTGCCTATCTACCTGTTGGACAAACTAAAATCGTTCCGGACCACGGGAGTTTCCGGACCACAGAATGCCGGACTAGAGAGGTACAACCTGTAGTAATAATAATAATTATTCATAGTAAATAAAATTTTTAATTAAAATACTGTACACCAAAATAAAATAATAATGATAACAATAATAATGATAGTAATAATAAAATACAGTAATAAAATTAATAATAATAATAATAACAATAATACTGTAATAAAATAATAATAATAATAATAAAGAAATACAAGAATGAAAAAAGATCAAAAGTGAGAAATATATATATATATATATATATATATATATATATATATATATACATATATATATATATATATATATATATATATATATATATATATATATATATATATATATATATATATATATATATATATATATATATATATATATATATATATATATATATATATATACATACAGTCAACCCTCACTTTACGCGGTTAATGTAACCCACAGGGTACCGCAGAAAGTGAGAAACACGTAAAGTGAATAACATAACATATGGGATTAAATGAAATAGAGACCGGCTGACCCCCAAACTCCACTTTTTCCAACACAATACCTATGTTCTAGTAAAAATAACATCCTATTTTTATGATGGTACATGCACACAATTAATACTTAAGGGAAATAGAGAAATACAGTCGCCAAGTTAATGTCCATTCAAATAATGGACACGACTCCCTCCCCCTCTTCTCACACTACACTGCTGGCTCTTCCCTCTGAGAAATTTTTGGGGGAAAACCAGGTATAGTAATAAATAATACCTCAAACTAAAGTTAGGATAATCTAATTGACATTGCTGGATTCCTTGTAAAACCAGGAATATTTTGAATATAAATGTCATATATTTTTGCACAAAAGATAACATATATACTCAGAGTAAACATTATATCTAAAATTTGTATGTCTAATGCAAAATATATGATGTTTATATTCAAAATGATCATCAAATTGTAAGAATTCCAGCAATGTAAATTATATTCTGGCCTGGTAATTTGTATGAACCGATTACTGTATTGGCAGACTAATATTCCAGCTGTGAGCAAGCGAAAACATGTTGACATGATTTCGTAAGAATTTCGTTAACTGAATTGAAGATTCTTATGGAAGGTAATTCGTTTTTTTTGTTCAACCCAGAATGGGACGCTTAGCTTTAACCTAGGTAAGTTAATGCCTAGCAATAACTTGCCAGGCCAACTTACAGGCAATTAAAACATTGCATGCACTGCCACCTTCATCTCTTGCCTGGCGATTCAGATATACTTACACACAATGAGAGCTCCGCGAATTTGTGTCATAATTGCTGAAATACTAAACTCCGCGAGGATTTTATATACGGTACAGTATTTGTACATATTAGCACAGTGATGAAGTAGAGTGACTTTTATTTTGTTATGTCTCTCAATTATGGTAATTGGGACAATTTCTTATACGATCTCTGGTCAGTCATGGCGACAACAAAACGTCTTCTTTGTGAAGTCGTTTAGATCGATGTGGCTATCCCTTGCATTTAAGTCACTTAGTGAATGTCTCTGCGCCCTCCCAGGCTCGTCTTCACTGAAAGAGAATATGTGAATATATCTATTTATATATATAGTCATGCGCCGGTTAACGTCCAACCGAACAACATCCGATCGCATATCGTCTGTGCCCCACCAAAAAAAAAAAACCCGTGACGCTTGCTGGACCACCACTCCACGACCCCCTGATGGAGACACGATGATTCTTCCCATACTGAACAGATATTATGTGTTAACGGAATATCCTTCCTTAGGCTTTAGTAAGCATTTGCCTCCAGGTGTAATGTTAACTTACATCTATTGAGGATAAAATCTTTCACCTACAAATTGACAATAACACATTTGCTGTAATCAGACATATCTAGTTGCCCCAAAGGGGTTGCAATTTCAAATTCTGTGTCA